CCGATTAATTTAGGCGTTGTAGTTCCATTCTTGTGGTAGGTCAGGCCGATCGTCGGGGTGCTGACTGTTAGAAACAATAGGAGTGGGGCCTAGGCTGAGTAGCCTACGCCCACACTAAGAGTTAGGAGGTTGTGCCCTAGGACTAGGGTTTGTGGTATACGAAGGAGAATTGGAGAAGTGAGAATGGGAATGATGAGCTAGCAAGAGTTGGGATACAAGTAGGAAACCCTAAAGGGTTGTACTCACTGTTGAGTACCCCACTGCAGGCTAGACAAGTAACATTCTGACACACCCCCATAGCCAAAGTGGGGTGCAATCAGCAGAGCAAGCAAAGTAGAACAAGCTCAGGGTGGATCACAATGTCACCACACATTCTGAGCACAAGTTCAAGAAGCAACAGTTTAAAGTTCACAACTATGAGCAAAGCTAGTGGCAGTCACAGGAGGCCAGTGAGGAGGAGGAGGAACTGTGGAGGGAGAGAAGAGAGGAGGCGACGACTGAAGTTGCAGACACACGGGCACCAGGAGCACCAGGCTGCAACCTCCTCCAACTGTCTCACTCCCCCCTACACACACCCCCAGGGTCACCACTCGCTCCTCGCCCACATCACCCCCCTAGCGCCACTCCCTCGTCTCCCACACATCCACCCCCCCGCAGCGGCAGCTGCAGCAGTGGGAGACGGAGGAGAAGGAAGGGGCGACGCACAAGGAGCACCCCCACACCCGCCACCCCCACACCCTCCCGTCCAGGGGACGCAAGGGGGGGGGAGGGGGGGGAGGGCCGGGGCGGGAGAGCGCACGAGGGCGCAGGCAACCGCGCGTGCAGAGCAACAGCGCGGAGCAGGTAGGGTAGAGCGCACGAGGGCGCGGGCAACCGCGCGTGCAGAGCAATAGCGCGGAGCAGGTAGGGTAGAGCACGCGAGGGCGCGGGCAACCGCGCGTGCAGAGCAACAGCGCGGAGCAGGTAGGGTAGAGCGCACGAGGGCGCGGGCAACCGCGCGTGCAGAGCAACAGCGCGGAGCAGGTAGGGTAGAGCGCACGAGGGCGCGGGCAACCGCGCGTGCAGAGCAACAGCGCGGAGCAGGTAGGGTAGAGCGCACGAGGGCGCGGGCAACCGCGCGTGCAGAGCAACAGCGCGGAGCAGGTAGGGTAGGGCGCGGGTGAGACTGAGCGCGACTGCACAGGGTCCAGGAGCGGCGTCGCGGGCAGCTGCATGGTCGGCTGCTGCTGGTGCGGTTGCTCCAGGGGCGGCGTCGCGGGCCCAGGGGCGGCTCCTGAGGTCCAGGGGCGGCTGCTGCAGGGGCGGCTGCTCCAGGGGCGGCTGCTGCAGTGGCGGGCGGCTCCAGTGGCGGCTGCTGCTGTGGCGGGCGACTCCAGGGGCGGCTGCTGCAGTGGCGGGCAAACTCCAGGGGCGGCTGCTGCAGTGGCGGGCGGCTCCAGGGGCGGCTGCTGCAGTGGCGGGCGGCTCCAGGGGCGGCTGCTGCTGTGGCGGGCGACTCCAGGGGCGGCTGCTGCAGTGGCGAGCGGCTCCAGGGGCGGCTGCTGCTGTGGCGGGCGACTCCAGGGGCGGCTGCTGCAGTGGCGGGCGGCTCCAGGGGCGGCTGCTGCAGTGGCGGGCGACTCCAGGGGCGGCTGCTGCAGTGGCGGGCGGCTCCAGGGGCGGCTGCTGCAGTGGCGAGCGGCTCGAGGCGCGCCCTGGCCTGGCGCAGTCCGTACGGGCCGCGCTGGCGCTCGCGGCTGGCCGTGGCGCTGGCGTCCGCGCGGGGCGACGAAAGGGGGGGCGCGGGGCGACGAAACGGGGGCCGCGGGCGACGGGAACGGGGGGCCGCGGGCGACGGGAACGGGGGGCCGCGGGCGACGGGAACGGGGGGCCGCGGGCGACGGGAACGGGGGGCCGCGGGCGACGGGAACGGGGGGCCGCGGGCGACGGGAACGGGGGGCCGCGGGCGACGGGAACGGGGGGCCGCGGGCGACGGGAACGGGGGGCCGCGGGCGACGGGAACGGGGGGGCCGCGGGCGACGGGAACGGGGGTCCGCGGGCGACGGGAACGACGCGGGGCGAAGCGGGGGCGACGGGGCAGAAAGAGAACCGCCGCACGCCTCGGGGCGCACGGCGGGCAGAAAACCGCCGCACGCTTCGAGGGCGCGGCGGGATGAAAAATTAGGGTTTCGCCGCCGCGCACCACGGGGCGCGCGGCGGACACTACGGCAGCGGAAGCAGGTGGTGGGCCCATAGAGGTAAGCGGCAGGAACGTGCTCGCTCTAGATACCATGTTAGAAACAATAGGAGTGGGGCCTAGGCTGAGTAGCCTAGGCCCACACTAAGAGTTAGGAGGTTGTGCCCTAGGACTAGGGTTTGTGGTATACGAAGGAGAATTGGAGAAGTGAGAATGGGAATGATGAGCTAGCAAGAGTTGGGATACAAGTAGGAAACCCTAAAGGGTTGTACTCACTGTTGAGTACCCCACTGCAGGCTAGACAAGTAACATTCTGACACTGACGAGGTAGTGAAGAGCGCGGTCGAGCTCCGCCAGATGTTCTGCTTCAGGCTTCTTGAGGTAGGTGGCGAGTTGACTTGCCGAGTACGATAGGTCCGGTCGGCAAGTGACTGCTGCGAATAGGAGGCATCCCAGTTTTCGTTGATAGTCGCGTATACCGGCAGGCTTTAGCGAATTGGAGCCTTCCTTGTGGTTTGCGGTAGTGTACCGGTATGGCGTAGAGATGGCGGACGGGGTGAGTCCGAACCGTTTGGCGATTGTGTCGGCGTATTTAGCAGCGCTGAGGTAGATCGCCTCTTCTTCTTCTCGAATATTAAGACAGAGGTATTGCGTGACGGTTGATGAGACCGTCAGAGTGAGGTCTTTCTGTAGCTCCCCTTCGAACCAGGTAGTAACCCCGTCGGTCGAACCGATGTAGAGCAAGTCGTCTACGTAAACGATGAGTAGAATGTAGTCATTCCCCTTTGTGAGTCGGTACATGCCTTGGTCGTGCGGTAGCTGGCGGAACCCGATGTGGATGAGTCTAGCGTGCAGGTACTGCTGCCACAGTCTCGGGGCCTGTTTGATGCCGTACAGGGACTTCAACAGCTGACAGACGTGGTTGGAATCCGTGTCGGAGCCGTGCGGTAACTCAACGAATATCTCTGTGTCGACAGGTGCGTAAAGAAAGGCGTTCGCGACGTCGATTTGTCGCAGCTTCTTTTTCTTCATGGCGGCGATCGCGAGGAGAATTCGCAGTGAAGTGTGTCGGCTGACCGGCGCGAACGTTTCGGTGAAGTCGCGTCCGTGTTCCTGGTCGAAGCCGCGTACGACCCAGCGCGCCTTAAACTTGTCGATGGTGCCGTCTGCCTTAGTTTTCACACGGAAGACCCATTTCCCGGTGAGTATTGTCTTGTTTCGTGCCACTCCGATGGGAACGACTTTCCAGGTGTTGCGTTCCTCCAGTGCTTTCAGCTCCTTGTCCATGGCTTCGCGCCATTTTTCCCTATGCTCCCCCCCCAGAGCCTGCTGAATTGTGGCAGGCTCCATGGGAATCGCCGTGCCGTGAACCGCGGTGACGAGCCCGAGTATCTGGAGTCCACTCTGTGTGTAGCGGGGAAGTGTCGTATCCTCGGGATAGACTGCTTCGTCTCCCGCTTCTGGTGTGGGGTTGAAGTTTGGTCCTATGCGTTCTGCTTCGTCGGTGTTGACTTGTGCAGGTGTAACATAACCCTCATCGGCGAGGTTGTAGAAGACTTCGGCGTTGACGCTTTCGCGAGGGTTGTCGTCATTCATCGGTATATCCGTCCAGCAGTATGGGAGTGGTCCGGCTTCTTCCGAGGCTCCATCCACATTATGCTTGTCCCAGTCAGCTTCGTCTGCTGCCGAAGCGAAGGCTCGGTCTCCACGAAAACCACCTGTGGGGTCTCGTTCTTCTTCCAGGTTGGCAAGGTACGTCGGGAGGGTGAGTCGCTCGTAGAAGATGACATCACGTGCTGCTACTGTTTCTTTTGAGTGGACGTCGAAAATTTTCCACGCGTTGTAGTTCTTTTCGATGCCCAGGTGTAGCCCCCACTGTGCGCGTTGGGAGAATCGGCCGGCTCGTGCAGCTGGGGGTCGGTACTGTACCATGCAGCCAAAAACTCGTAACATTTTTGTGCTGCCCAGTTTTCCTGTCCATAGCAGATGCGGTGATGCGTTGTTCGGGAGCGATGATGACGAGAGCAAGTTGTGCAGCATCACGGCGTGGTCCATTGCTTCGGGCCACTGGTGGTTGGGTAGCCGCATGCCACGTAGCAGTTTGCGCATGGTGTTCTGGAGGGTCCTGTTCATCCTTTCTGCTACACCCTGCTGTTGATGGGCGTAAGGAAGGGAGATGAGTCTCTTGATTCCCTTCTCTGCCAGGTAGTCCTTGAAGCGTTGTGAGGTGTATTCTCCTCCTCCATGTGACTGAAAACTCTTTAGCTTCACCCCAGCCCGATTCCCGTTCTGCTGCTGGAAGCCAGGCAACGAAGGCTTCGAAGGCCATGTCGCGGCTTGGGAGGTTCATGTGCCAGACGTATCGTGTGGCGGCGTCGATGAACGTGATTGTGTAGTTATAGGCTCCTTGTCCTGGTACGCGATTGTACAGGATGTCATTGTACACTTTCTCGAGCGGTGCGTAAGCTGGTGCGCTCGGGTTGTGGTGAGAGACGAACGGCTGATGCGGTAAGTCGGCTTCGGGGCAGGTGAAGCATGTTCCTCTGACTCGTTGGAGTTCTCTCCCGTCGTGCAGTAGTAGTGAATCTTTGTCGAGCACTCCTGCTCTTATCGTGTTGTTTAACGTTGTGTTGCTTGGGTGTCCCATTCTTGCATGCCAGATTTCTTCGCTGGCGCGGTGTCCGGGTGAGCGCCGATACATGTCGGAGCTGGAGTAGAAGCCGGCAGTGAAGTTGGCACTTCGATGGACTTCTCGTGGAGTTGGCGTTGTCGAGTTGTTCTTCCGGTGAGTAGTGTGGCGGTGACTCGGTGATGCAGGAGTCAGTTAATTTGGCCATACAACTGATGATGTTTCTTGATCCTTGTGCAGATTGTCCCGTTGATGTTGTTGAGGCTTGTACTTGAGTGGTGGGATTCGCTTGCGTTGAGGCGACTTGACTGCTTGAAGGTCGAAGCTGCCGCTGCGTTGGTGTTGGCTGCTGCCGGTTTGGGCAGTGTGTGCGAGGGTGACCTGATGTCTTGCAGATGTGGCAGAACGGAGGTACGGGTTTTGGTTGATGCCGGTTGTTGTTGTTGTTGTAACGCCGTTGAGTGTGGAATGCGAATTCGGGTACTGATGCCTTCTTCTTGTGTCGTTCTTCTTGCAGGTCCATGTCTTGCTGCTCAGCGTGAATCTCGGCGCAGAGTGCTGCTTCGGATATTTTCCCGTGAGCTCGGAGTATGGCGCGAGTGGAGCGCCACTGAGGACCAAGACCGCCGATGACAACTGTGACGAAGGCGTCTTCCGATATCGACCCTCCGCATCGAAGGAGTTTGCCGCGCAATTCGCGACAGCGGCTGATATACGCCATTCCTTTTTCGCCGGTTTCATTTCAACTATTGTCAATTGCGCCATTAATCGACTTTGATTGACGCTGTCTGTTGCTTGATACAGGTTCTTCAAGTGGTTGTATGCGAGCTCGGCGGAGTTGCCGTATCCCCGGTAAGACCGAATGTTCTGCTGCTGATTCGGAGTGATGTTCCTCAGCAGGATTGTATATGCCATCATTGACTGATACGTATACTGCTGCTTGTCGTACTGTGTGCCGTGTATTGGGTATGGCAGGGACCCGTCGAAGAAGCCGAGAATCTGCGCGCCTTCCATCATTAGCTCGAACTCGAACGACCAGATGAAGAAATATTTACCATCGAATGGCCTTGACGTTTGTAGCTTTAAGACGTGTGCGAACTGGGACCGAGCTTGAAGTGCATCCAATGGTCTTTCTTGTCCAGGTGAGGCTTGCTGATATGGCATGAAGCTGATTAAGCCGCGCTGAGGTTCGTATGGAGCAAAGGTAGGCTATTGTTGCTGATTTTCACGCGCGTACGATGAGCCGTCGAGACTCATGGGTGTCACGTCGTTGTTGTTGTTGCTGTTGTTTGACTGCGCAGGTGCCGATTGCTGGTGTTGCTCATAGAAGGACATGAAGGAGAAGAATTTCTCCATCATGCTTGGGTCGAAGCCTGCGGGTTGATTCGCGGGAGTTTCAGTGGACCTTGCTGCTGGTCTTGTTGCCGTGCCCTCCTCTGTCTGTAGGCCAGAGGCAGGAGGTGGAGTAGGAGTAGTGCCAGGAGAACCGTTAGAGGAACTCCTTTCCTTCTGTGTTGCCATGCCTTCTGATGTTGTAGGTGTCTTGATAGTAGTTGAGTTTGCCTTGTCTGCTCTCATACCATGTTGGGCTGAGAAAAAGCCCTTAGGATCTTTGCAGGACTAAACTCCTGGTAGGAATGATGTAATAGCGGAAGCGTTTTAATGAAAACCACCTTGCGCTAGTATGTGAGGGCAAAGTAGATTAAAGCAGGGAGATACAGGGCCTTTTATAAGAGTACAAAGAGATATAACTAATAACTGTTTTGTTGTTGCTGTTGCGGTTCGATATAGTGACGACTCGGGCAGCTGTTCAATAACGAATCAGCTGTTTGTCCTTGCTGTCGCACTGTACTTGTCGAGTCAAAGGTCGCGTGACCTTTGACCTTCGCGTAACCTCCAGCGGTTACCATTTCTTGTCAACCTCCGATGGTTGACTCGCCGTTGCTGCGCTGTTGCTTGCTCCGTTTATGTTTAATGTTTCGACACGACAGAGGCGCTTAAATCATTTGTTTCCAACACTGGGTAGCTTACATTGATGCTCTAAGAGGATGCAAAGCAATGCTATCATATTAGATTGGAGTAGGTCTTTGGAAGTGTTGGAAGTGTTGTAGTAGCGGAATTTTGTGCATAAGGAGCTGGGTAAATATAGAGGTGCCCACAGTACGGAGTTATGGTATGGTCGAACAAAAGCTGGCAGCGGGATGGGATGGGATGGGATACGATTGCTAGACCACGGACAAGAACTCACGAAATGGTCCCATCATACTGGCCTTGTTCGCCACGTCCTTTGTAGGTCTTCAACGGGATGGGGAGGGGATCCGGGGCATTTTTTCAAGGGTGCTTTGCCCTGATTCCCCTTTCTGAAAGCCGTTTTTTTCCGTTTACCCTGATTTTGTAAGGCCAGCTGTTTTGCAACCCTTTCCCAAAAAGTGTAGCAATTTTTACACCCTGTGTTAGTCAGGGTTGGTGTTTTGTTACCTTTCAAGTGAGTGTTGGTTGAAAGCTACCCTTTTACCAAATCCTTGTTTCCGCAGTTTCTAGCGTAACTGTAAAAATCTGCCAAGCTGTTCTCAGAATAAAGCATTCCGCCCACCCGCTGACCACCTGTGCCGTCAAGGTGGACGGTTTTGGTTTTTCTGCTGCATCAAAAGGCGAATTTTCTGTGATAGGCCGACTTCGCTGTGCCAGGGCAAATTTGCTGTGACTCGCGAATCGCTATGTCAGGGCGAATCTGCTCTGTCCGTGTGAATTTTCCGTGCGAGGGCGAATCTGTTGAAACCTGAAACAACGGTACAATACACAGTTGTGCCAATCGATTGGTCACACCAGGTTTGTATCAGGTGCCTTGTAAACCTAGGGAGGACCCTGTGTTAGAATCTAGAAGAAGGAATGTGTGTATTGAATGAAAGGTGGGTACAAGTACTAACCCTAACATTGGGTTGTACCCCATATGGGCTACCCCACTATAGCCTACACAGAACTAACACACATATATAGTTTGACACACCCCCATAGGCAAAGTGGGGGAGAACAAGGGGTCACAAGACCAGTCAAGAAAAGCAAAACAAGCCCAGGGTGGATCACAACGTCACCACACACTCTGAGCACAAGCAAAGAGCCACAAGGCCAGTTCACATGCAGAGGTATATATGCAACAACAACAATAGAATGATCACTACCTAGCAGGAGTAGGCATCCAAGTATATAATATAGATCAAGTACAAGCAAAGTCAAGAGGTATGCAACTGAGCAAACACTGGCACCAGGCCTAAAGCTGTGCAAAAGCGCTGATGGTCACAAGGCGGAAGTGCCTTGGTGAACACATCAGCAGTGTTGGCCCTGGTGGCCACGTAAGAAACACGAAGCTGACCACGCTGCTGCAACTCTCGAGCAAGGAAGTAACGCAGAGCAATGTGCTTCGTTCTGTGCTCCAGTCTGTGCTCCTGACACAAGGTAATAGCAGCCTTGTTGTCTACGTATAGAACTGGAGGAGAACGAGGCCTCTCTCCCAAGTCGGTCAGCAGGTAGGTGAGCCAGCGTAACTCCTGAGCAGCCATGGCTGTGGCGTAGATCTCAGCCTCACAACTAGAGCTGAGAACTGAAGACGAGCGTGTAGACCGCCAAGAAACAGAGCCGGAGCCAAGGCTGAACGTGTACCCCTGCGACGACCGCTGCGTAGCCAGGTCGTCGACCCAAGAAACGTAGGAGTGTCCAGTGAGGACAACGTCACCCCGTCCTCCAAGCACGAGCCCCATGCCCGATGTACTACACAAGTAGCGTAACACCCTCTTAGCAGCCTCCCAGTGCTCTCGCCGGTGTCTCCCGGGCGCAACGTAGCAAGCCAGGATGCTAAGAGGGTACGCAAGGTCAGGCCGAGTGCAGGTCATCAGGTATATGAGGCAGCCCACAAGCTCTGGATACGGGCCACTCGGCTCTACGGACTCATCCGAAGGCAGAGCTGAGAGCGAGTGACCCATAGCCATAGGAGTGGACTATGGCGAGGACCAAGTGAAGCCGAAGCGCTGAAGGACCTGCTGCACCATGTGTGACTGAGTCAGGGTGATGGTGCGGCGTGCTCTGTCCCGGATGATCTGCAAGCCAAGGTAACTGCGCAACTCACCCAGGTCCGTGCACGTGTGTCGCTTCTGCAGCTCCGACTTCACAAGAGCGAGTGCCTCAGTGTCAGCAGTGGCAAAGACCAAGTCGTCGACGTACACGAGGATGTAGAACGGCGGCAGCGAGGTGTCGGTGCATAGAAACAGCGACGGGTCAGCAGTGGAAGGAGCAAACCCAAGAGCCGCCAGTGTCGTCCTCAGTGTGTCGTGCCACTCACGAGGCGCCTGACGGAGACCGTAGACTGGCCGCCGGAGGCTCCACTGGGTACCAGGAGGGAACGTCCCAGTGAAGCCAGGTGGGCAGCGCAGCCAGATCTCCTCGTGCAGACTGCCCTGTATGAACGCTGTGCCGAAGTCAAGAGAGTGAAGCTCGTAGTCACGCTGAGTGGCAACGTGCAGCAGCACTCGAAGAGTGGTTATCTTCGGGGTGGGGGAGAAGGTCTGAAAGAAGTCAACTCCCTGTCGCTGACTGAAGCCTCGTGCAACGTAACGAGCCTTGAAGACAGGCGGAGAACCCGGCGGCCGCTTCACCCTGAAAATCCACATGCCATCGACGATGTTTGCCCCAGGAGGGGGAACCTCGTCGACGTAAGTACCTGTGGACTTCCAGGATGCCATCTCTGCGTCCATGGCTGTCTGCCACTGAGAGGAGTAAGGACCCGAGATCGCCTCTGCGTAAGAGCGCGGGGTCGGGATGTCCAGTGCATCCGGGTCTCCCTCAGGAGCAAGCAGCATGGCCACGAGATGAGGTGCAGCGGCTGCAAGACACTCAAAGTCCTCCTGTTTGTCCTCAAGGACGTCCGTGCCAAGAGCACACTCACCCCCGACGGACGAAGGACAGACAGACTCAGACTCAGCAACAAGACTAGCAGCGTAGTCTAGACGACAGACAGCAGCAAAGTCAACAAGCTCAGAGACTAGGGCAGACGCAGCAGTAGACTCAAACGACGGGTCAGTGACAACAGTGGCGAGCAGACGCGTGACAGTAGGGTGAGCAGCACGAACCAGGTCAGACTCAGGGTCCGGAACGTCAGGCAGAGAGGACGCAGGAGGAGACGGCAGGGGGACACGCTGCGGAGCAGAGGAGGGACGAAGTGCCATAGTGTGAGTATCAGGCACAGGAGGAGGACGCGAACGCGGGACTCGACGAGCAAGGCGAACAATGCGAACAGGGGAGGCAGGACGAAACGCAGGCGCACGAGGCTCTGTAAGCGAGTCAGTCTGCTCAGTGTAAGGAGAAGGAGCGGGCAGTGGGGAGCCTGGCTGTAACGGGAGGCCAGTAGAAGACGGGAGGCTAAGAACCTGGCGAAGCACGGAGTCAGGCGGTGGCAGAGACGACGGTGACGGCGGAGCGAAAAACAGCCGCGGCTGTGCAGTGTCACCAGCACCAGTAGCGCCAGCGCCTCCAGCAGCTCCAGAGCCTCCAGCTCCAGCGCCTCCAGCAGCTCCAAAACCGCCAGCTCCAGCGCCTTCAGCAGCTCCAGAACCTCCAGCTCAAGGGCCTCCCGCCTCAGTACCTCCAGGCGCAGCTCCCCCAGAACCGGCACCTCCAGCTCCAGGCTCTCCAGCTGCAGAACCCCTAGAACCGGCACCTCCAGCTCCAAGGTCTCCAGCCTCAGAACGTCCAGCAGCAGCACCCCCAGAACCGGCACCTCCAGCTCCAGGCTCTCCAGCCCCAGTATCTCCAGCAGCAGCACCCCCAGAACCGGCACCTCCAGCTCCAGGGTCTCCAGCCCCAGTACCTCCAGCAGCAGCACCCCCAGAACCGGCACCTCCAGCCCCAGGGTCTCCAGCCTCAGTGCCTCCAGCAGCAGCACCCCCAGAACCGGCAGCACCACCAGCTCCGGCAGATCCAGTACACCCAGGACGAGCACCTCCGAGACTAACAGTGCCAGCACCACCAGCATCTCCAGCACCAGCAGGACCACCAGCGCCGGCAGCCCCAGTACCACCCCGAAGTGCGAGCACCTCCGGGACCAGCAGTGCCAGCTCCTCCGGTACTAGTAGCTCCAGGGCCTCCAGCTCCAGCAGCTCCACGCGGAAGGCAGT